ACTAGTGTTGAGAACATACTAAACCACATAACAGTGTGTGGGAAATTACATTGTTGTGGGCTGTAGTCTCTAAGAACCATATGATTAAACTGTCACAAGGAAGAGACTTTGGTGGTCAGTGGGGGCATATGTTTGGAAGTTGCAACCAGGAGCTCTGAAGACAGCTCTGTCACCTAGATAGATATGCCAGTGAAAGAAAGCTCTCTTATCTGATTCTCAACCATATAGAGCAAGTAATTCCTGTATGGAGAATACATGAATCAAAGTTTAGAGGTACCGCATCACTGACTTTAGAGGAATAATGTCTTTATAGAGTTTTATAAAAATAAAAATTGCATCATCATAATTGTAAATGTTAATTAAGAATTGTGTTCAGTAGGTAATTACAATATGATTTGAATTAATGAACAAATGTGAATCCGTATTTATGAGATTTCAACATATGTGTATAAGTACAGCTTTATCATATGGATAATTTTATGAACTTGGATAATAATGGTTAATGGTCATTTTAGTATCTACTAAAAATATTCTTATCCTAAGTATATAGTCAATTTCTATAATAAAATCATCAAATTAAGAGTCACCCACTTCAAACAAATTTTACTTATGTCTACTTATGTCTCATTCTTTCTTCAAACAAATTTTACTTATGTTTCACTCTTTTCCACTTCTATCCAGAATTTAACATTCTGTATTACTTATTAGTTTTATTTTTTAGTTTAACAAATACAGTTTGACTATATATACATATATGTATATATATATACATACATATACATATGCATTTATACATATATACATATAAACATTGGCACTTTGATATATGATGTACTTTTGATATGGTATGTGTGTGTATAAAACATGATAGCTTTATGTTTATTGACACAGCATATATATGAATGGATTAATATTATATGCCCATGCTGTGTTTTTTTTTCTCAATTCATTATTGTAGAAAAATACACTAGTTTATTCTCACTACGGCTGTATTTTATTGACTATTGTACACGTATTCACATTTGAAAACTCACTTTACATTTCCAGATATATTGAGCATTATTAAATACATTAAATATGTCAAAAGAAAGTATTTTTCCCCATATGTCAAGGAATTGCAACCATGCTTATATTTCACTGGATTTTTTTTTTTTCAAATAATTGAGTCATTTGGGAGGAATCTTACTTTTTCAGTAGGTTGAAGTCATACCTACTTACCCATACTTATGTTACATTGTATTTTTTCTGATGCCAGTAAAAATTTTATGTTTTAAAATAAATTTAATTTTGAAAATATGTATGTGGTGTGAGGTTATCTTTCAATTTTTTTAAAATAACTTCAAGTATCACTAACACTGTGTTATTATGTATCCTATTGCAATGGTGAGGAACTCTATTTAGGTACCTGCTGTGTGCATATTGCATATTCTTAGAAGTATTCCTGAATGTTTTAGAAAACAATGTTTACATGTATTTTTAAAGTCATATTTTCAATGATTGGTCAGAAATTAGTGTGTATGTAACATGCAAATTAGCAAAAAAATTCACTTTAAGAGATGTTTGTATTCAGTTGCAAAATTACACCAACTGTCATAAAGTTCCAGCATTTATGGGTCTCGGAAGTGTAAGAATTTACATGAATCTAAACAAATGGTAGAATTTTTAAATAAGTAGAGCATCCTGGCTTTTAAACATGTTTTCATTATATACGCATTTCTAGTTTTGTTTCTGTGTTTACCAAGGTTATTGGTTGATATGAGTTAGTTTTCATTGTATTATAAAGTTCTTCCATCATCTTACATCATCATTACAGTAGACAGTGTGTTTGAGAATGTCAAATGTAGAGTAAGAGGTTCTTTTTATTTTCTGAAAGATTTATTTATGTGTGCATACAGAACTGGGGTGCAGGCCAGAGGTGCAGGGGAGGTGAGAGGATTCATCAGAGGCAGAGTGGGGAGTAGAACAAGCAGATCCAGGAAGCACATTGCTGAGCCCAGCTGCTGGGAGACAGGAGAGATCTGCTGCCCCACGTGGGTCACCTCCCTGGCCAGGGATCCAACTCCTGCTGAAGTGGCTGAGGCTCGCTTTACAGTGCTGAGCTTTCACTCTTTTTGCCACCAGGGAGGGTCTAAGAGGTTCTTTTTAAATTCTGTTCATTGCAAGCAGTGGGAACTTAAGCACTTTAACAAAAAATGTCACATATTTTCTTATCTGTAACAACGCATTACAGCGAGGATTAAGTGAAGTATCTTACTCCATTATCTGGCATATAGCAATGTAATAAATGTCAGCTCTTATCGTGATCAAAAATATGTCAGAAATATCTCCTAAATTAATACCACTCATTACTTTCCCACATGTTTACGATGATAGACAAAATTACATCTCAGAAATCACTAGGCAGCATAACATTTGAAAAAGTTCAAAACAAATTTTTATTTATTACAGTATATAATCATACAATAGACCTTTAAATACCTCTGGAAAATAATTTTACAATTGGAGTTCTGTCAGAATAGCATTCATTCATCTCACTCTCTTGACTATAATTTTTATAAAACTTACATGTATATAGTTGATGCCCACAGTCAGTTGCGATCTAAATTATTTGAAGGTGATACCATACAGGTTTTAGGATTCTCAAACTACTATGCAATAAGTGACTTAAAACAGGTCGGGTTGATTAATTTTCTCTCATATAAAAATTTACTGTATGTTATTTTCAACCTTCTTTTTAACTATAGGTGAGAAGGTCTTGAGAATTGTTTAATTAGGTATGTGATATACATGCTTACTTAACCATTATAACAAATCATTTAGAATACTATATTTAATCCCCAATTAATATTAAAGTATATATGAAAAGTAAATAAAATAAAGGGGAACAGGCACATACCTGGCATTGTGATAAGTCTGTTCATAAAAATAATTTGTAAATGTATTAACCACACATATTCGTAAGGGAGTTCTATTGTTTATTAATTAACTTTATCTTTTTGTACCAAAATTAAATATAATTTTCATATGCAAGATTTTAAAAATACAGGTAAAACTAAGAAAGTTTTCTACATCCCCAAACAAATATACTCTTTGGTAATTTCAGTTTTAGTTGAATACTCGTTTGCAGATCTCATTCTTACAAGATTATCTAAGGAATGGTGGAACATGTGTGTTACTAAACAAAACATTTCCCTAGCATTTTAAAATATTGTATCATCAAGCCAGTGATGATTTATAAGAGTACAGAATTGTTTTTGTACACACTTGTCTGCAGAAAATATTTTCATAGAAATCAAAAAAGCACAAAGAAAAAGTACAATGTATGAACACTGCATTGAAGAGAAGCTGCCTTTATTTGTATTTTTTCTTCCAAACCACCAATGTAATATAGTTAAGTGTTTTTCCTTTTTTGTTGTTTCTTATATTTTTGTTTGTTTGTTTGCATTGATTTTGGGAATGCATGGATATCTCTTTTTAATTTTTTTCTGTTTGTTTGTTTTTTTCCTCTATGTATTGAGATTATCACCTGTGTGAGTTAACCATTATTTCACTAACTCTGGCTAACATTTATGGTTTCTAAAATCCCCTCCATTTTTCCTTTAGTATTTTTTCTTCCCTTCTTTCCTCCCCTTCTTCCTTCCATCAATCTTTTCTTCTTTCTTCCTTTCCTCCTTCTCTCCATTTCCCCTCCTATACCTTCCTCTCCTTCCTCCTTCCTTTCATCAGCATGGAACTAAACAAGTATTTCTAGAACTAAATAGGTAAGGATAGGTTTGGGGTTTGTTTTTATCACACAGTAGTGTATCTTTATTATTTTGTTTAAGCTGTCGACACTACATCCTTCATGAGTAATATTGTCTGTTATTGATAGTAAAGTTTTATAGATGATAAAAAAAAACTGGTATATTTCCTCCTTCTGTTTTGTGGGGGGAAATATGTATTATATTGAAATTATGTATTTCTTGAACCTTACATAAAATACCTACATGTGATTTTTCCTCTCTGGAAATATACTTTTACATAGCCATTGATTATCTTTAGTTACTGTTGTACCACTCAGATTTCCTATTTCTACTAGCCATTATGACACTTTTAAGTCCATCCTCTCTTACTATTTTAACAACATGTTTTTTGTATTTGTAATTATATTTCCCCTTACCCTATTATGACTTTTCTCTGCTTCTACTTTGGTAAATCAATGTTTTCTGATTTTATTTTTTACTAGTCTTGTTTTTAAAGTATTAGTCTGCTATAATTTTAAATTTGTTTTTTTTAATAAAGTGACAAAACAATGTTAGTAAGGTTCATTTTTTAAATTATGAATTCTGCATTTATGCCATTTCCTAAACATTCACTATTTTTACAATTAAGTAAAATTAATTAATAAATGGTAAAATTTCATTTAAATATACTTTGATGTTTTATCTATAATATTTTATGTGAAGTAGTTATATATGAATTCCACATTAGGTTCAGATATAAATTAGTCTTTATTTTCCTTAATTTATGTTTAACAAATCATACTACAGATATTCTATCAGAAGAAAATAATCCCTTGTATAAAGAACTTTATTTTCTATTTTCTCCAATGTTATTTTGGTTTGAAACACTGAACCTTTTAAAGATGATGTGATTTTTTTTTTACCAACTGTTATGCTTTTCTTAGATTAATGATGAAGCCAATTGTTCATCCCTTAGACTTTGACAGCATACAATGAATTCTGACAACTTTCTCCCACTCCAGCTCCTGAATAACATGTAATTTCCTTGATATGACAAAATATCATTTTAGCATTCATGCCATGCCTTGCTGTTCATTTTTCATTTTTCTGTAAGTTAATGAGTTCTAGCAAAGAGTGCCTTCATAAAGTTGTCTTTTGCCAAAAGTCCTTCTACAGCATATGGAGCAAGTGACACGCGACAGCATTAAGGAAATTTGTTTGAAACCAAGCTCGAAAGTATGCGTGGGAACACTAAATACATCCCTGTGTGTTTTGCAGACAATCCTGCACTGCTGAGCCATGTCACAGTGGGTATTAGAGTCTTGGATGTCAATGACAATCCACCCGAACTTGCCAGGGAATATGATATTGTTGTCTGTGAAAATTCTAAGCCTGGGCAGGTAAGTGAATTGTTTCCTATCATGCAAGCAGAAGAAATTCAAGTAACCCTATTTCTATTCTTTTGTATAAGCCTAGAAGTCCTCAAATGAAAATAATTTTATAAAGCTTACATTTAGGCTGAAATAGATTTTTTGAGCTTCATAGAAAAATATAATTTTTCTGGATCCCATACGTAATTAAAAAAAAATCGAGTTCTGGTATGCACACATTTATCATGCCAGTACTATTGTTTTGAATGCCTTTTGGGCACCCTATACTGAGGAGGAAACAGTGAATGCTTCTGACCTCACGAAGCTTTGAGACTCATTTAGGGAAGAGGAACTGATTTGGTCTTTTTTTTTTTTTTTTTTTTGTGAGAGCCTGATTGACACATAAGCAACCAAGCAAACATTGGATGATATCATACTGAACTCTGATTAATTTTACGACACAACAAGGGTGTGTGTATTACTGGGTTGGGAGGGGAAGGAAGGAGAGATGAGCTTAAACATGAACATGCCATGGATGTAATTCAGCAGTCAGGGAGCCTGGAGTATTGGAGGAAGGTAACAAGGGACAAGAGTGAGTGGGAGTCTGGAAGGGCAAGTTCATTTGTCCCCTCTGCTGCAGTACAACTTATCGCCTGCAGGGGGCGCAATCTTGGGAGCGTACAGGCCAAAGTAAAAATAACTCTCAAAGTCCAAGTAGTGACGGGGAAAGGTCACTAGAGGGGGCACGTGTCTGGAGATGCGACTGCTACCTCTAGAGCAAGTCCACCTTTATTCGGGTGTCCGATTCAGGCAAGGGGGGCAAGTCCAGAGGAATGGGTGGGGGAATGTGCTTGTTGTGGGCGTGAACTGGAGGGATGCACAATAGTCTGGCACAATCCAGGTGAGAGTAATAGGGGCTGTTGCTTCGGGCTGGTTCATTGTTGCTGCTGATGAAAGATCCCATCTCCATTGCCTGTTAGCACTTCCTGCAAGGTGGTTTAGCTGGTTATGCTGACCTGGCCCTACTCTCTGCCTGCTGTTTTAGCAGATATCCTCCTACCAAGAATTTTGTCCTGAGGAAAGGTTCTCTGTCTGACCTTACATTAGCTTAATAAAGCAGCAGTAACTTTTGGAAGAACAAGGGGTCTGGGGTTCCATGCAAGTTATACAAATTCAGCAGCTTAAAGCAATACCCACTTATCATGCCAGTTTCTGGAGGTCAGATGTTGCTCATGACTTGGCTGGGTCTTTACAGGGGTTTCATTGGCTAATCTAGGTGTCCATGACCAGGCTTTATCTCTGCTGAGGCAGACAAATCCTCCAAGAACAGGTATCAGCAATCTTGGTTGCTGCTTTTTTTAAAGATTTATTTATTTATGCATACAGAACTGGGGAAGGGGTACAGACAGAGGTGCATGGGGTGAAAGGATTCACCAGAGACAGTAAGGAGCAGAGCAGGCAGATTGACTGACATACACTGCTGAGGGGAGCAGCAGGTGAGACAGGAAAGGTCTGCTGTGCCATGTGAATCAGCTTGCTGGCTGGGGACTAAACAAACTGGTGCTGCAGTGTCTGTGGCCAGCTTTATAGTGCTGAGACTTAACCCGTATGCCGCCAGGAGGGCTTCAACTCGGTATTGTCACTAGGCTCTCAAAGTCTCTCTCCTAGCTTTCTGTTTTACCCTCTCTGCTAACCACCTAGACTTTCTTGCTCTCCTAAAGTGAGTTCTGGGGCATAAGTGCTTTCTTCTCTGAAATGAAGAAAATTGTCAAAATTCTGGGGCTCTTCAGAAACTTGAGATTGTGTGAGTATATGTCTAGATAAGTCTCAAATCCCTTATTCTCCTCACTGCATTTTTCTAGACAGGGCTAAATTTCTGATAAGCATTTTTTGAGTGGGTATGTCCCATTCACCATATCATACATGTCTTATCTTCATATACCAGTTGCTGTTTTTAGATTGCGGTCATTAGACTTAGCATCCTTAAATTCTAATTTATATTGTTATGTTATTACTTCTTTTTACTGTTCAAAAGCTAAATTCACCTTTAGCATAGTTGCTGTTTTTACTAGTGTATGATTTAAATGTCACTATAAGACAATTGGATTCTTTCCTGTGGCTTGAACATTTATTTCCAACCCGTTCACTAAAATGAACTCAAACTTTCCATCACGGGTATAAAAATTACTGTAAAGTATTATTTATTGGATCTATATTTAAATCAGTCATTGACAATCTCTGTGGTCAAGTGTATGATTAACTCATTACAGGGAAAATGGACTGAATTTTCCTGTTGTTTAATTTTGCAGTCTTTGGCTCATTTAACCTGATGCTTGTAACATTTCTGGAGAAACTTCCTGTGTTCTGATACAGGGTTGAATCGGGAAATCTATTTAAATAATGACTTGTGAAATAGGTTTTCTGATGCATATTTGTATTTCCTAGCTGTGTGACAGTTCCTCTTTCTATAACAGTTGCTTTCCAAATTACAGACATTTCTGTTATGGATGCTGTGTATAACAGCAGCATGTGGCTGTGGTAAAGAGATGGGTCTCTTATGAAAACAGAGGTTTAAATCACATATAACTTCAGATTTCAGGTCGACTCAGGTGTCCAAATAAACTGAAACAATACGGTTCTCTGACTTAATGTATTTTCCTATTCTAAAAAAAATCCTTTAAGTGTCTGGCAAAAGAAAATCAGGTCCATATGAAATGCGATGTCCTTTCTCAGAGTGGAATGAATTTGAAAAATAGTTTGCATGTATCTATACTTGGATACTCTTTGAAAAAATAAAAAGAATGCTTTTCATTTTATTCATATTGAATTTTCCCTTTGGGCCTCAATTATTTTTAAGAAATAAACTTAGAAAACATGACATTTTAAAATAAATTGTAAATGATATCTGGTTCTCCTACAATAAAACTTTATATGAAAGCTGTTTATTAGATTAGTAAAAATTTGACACCATGTTTAAGTTGATGCACATTTAACTTACAAAAGTTACATAATTATGAAGTTAATGTATGACCCATTTGAGATTATATTATGAAGCAAACTCAATTAATTTAAAAGAATACAATGCATTTCTCAGAAATTCTTTATTAATTGAAATATTTAGTCATTTATGAAAGAGTAAGTTATTTGTGGAAATTTATAAAATGTTTTCCCTATTAAGTGCTCTAGAAGCAGTGGACTATGAAAAATACATCTAGAAAGAGAAGATATGTGTATTTGATTAAAAAAAAATCCTTCCAAAATTGACTCCTTATCTGTGGACATTACCAAAAAGTTCTGCTGATATCATTTACCACTTATAAATACCAAATAGCAATTTGGATGTACCTTCTCCCCCGGAAAGAATAAATCTGTGATTTTGCAAACATCTTTAAAACTAATAGAACACCTTAGTTAGTCCTTACGGCACACATGCATGAGAAGGGCTAAATTCAGTCAGAGGGTGGAGCCAGAAATGGACCCCCTGTGCGATCACTTGGCCTCCAGATGGGCGGGTGCCGGGTCTGGAAATCATACCCGAGACAAAAGGCTTGAGAGTTCTGATGATGGAGACCTGACAAATACCTAAAACTCTGCCAGAAATTTAAATATTCTAAAAATCATTAAACCTGTTATCTTCTTAGCTATATTTTCTAATAAATTTCTGAGGAAACAATACTTTTTTTTAAATAAATCTTCCTGTTCAAAGAAAAACATGATTATTCAACCAGAAAAAAACGACCTTCATCTTAAAAACCACTTTCAGATTTTGATACTTTAATTTCCCCTTCGCTCAAAGGTGCTCACAGGTACAGGACATGAGCGTGATATTCAGCCCCAGAAGTTCTGAACTCTGGAACACTTCAAGCACTTGAAAAAATTGTCAGACTGCTTTTGATTATCCTTCAGTTGAACATACCCCATGTAGTTGAAACCCATAATGAGTAGACCAAAAGAATACACACAAGACACTGGCTGTGTTTCAAGTTAAAAAGAAGCAAAACAAGAAGAAAATTGTCAATTCACAAATAAATAATATGGCGGGAAACAGAAGGGGATGGAGAGTTCTGGGAGGTGGGACAGGGATCTGGATCTCTTGCTCACAAAGCAATTTTTTTTTTTTAAAGATTTATTTATTTGTGCATACAGAACTGGGGTACAGGCCAGAGGCTCAAGGGTGGTGAGAGGCTTCACCAGAGACAGAGTGGGGAGCAGAACAGGCAGATCGGTGAAGTACACTGCTGAGGGGAGCAGCGGGCGGGTCAGGAGAGGTCCGCCACTCCCTGTGGTCACCTCCGGGGCAGGCGGGGATCGAACTCATGCGGAAGTGGCTTTAGCTTCTCAGTGCAGTGCTTTAACCCGCTGCGCCACCAGGGAGGGCCTCACAAAGCAATTTTTAAGGAGCGGAAGGATACAGAGGAGTGAGATATGGTAGAGATCACTTACTTTATCCTAAAGTGCTTTCTTCACTCGCACTTCAGGAAAACACAGGCACCCTGGCTCTTTCCTTCTAGTTCTACTCTGCTCCTCAGCTCCTAACAGCCGACAGACTCGGGATGTGAAGAGTCTAAAATTGACACTTTCACTTTGATATATTTTGATGGATTATTTCACTTCTGAGACCTTGAATATTCCTCGAAATCCTATCTGTTTTGAAGTGGACACACTATATGTCACGGCAAGAGACTTTTTTTTTTTAAGATTTATTTATTTATGCTCACAGAACTGGGGTACAGGCCAGAAGTGTGGTGGGTGAGAGGACTCACCAGAGACAGATCAGGGAGCAGAACAGGCAGACTGACAAAGTACACTGCTGAGGGGAGCAGCGGGCCAGACAGGAGAGGTCTGCCTCGCAATGTGGGTCAGCTCCCTGGCTGGGGATGGAACCTCTCTCTAGTAGCCTCCGAGAGCTTCATAAGGCGGTGCTTTAACCCATTGTGCCACCAGGGAGAGCCCAAGAGACTTTGTTTTTAATGGTTCTCATTTCCCCTTGTTTTAATTTCCCTAAGTTGGAGCGTATGAGCTGGAAAGATTGGAATAATTTTGAGCATGGGAAGTATTGTCTTGCCAGTTCCTTGGTGTGTGTGTGTGTGTGTGTGTGCGTGTGTGTGTGTATGTGTGTTATGCTTTTTGTAAAAGTATAAGGACTACTACAACTTTTGGAATTTATATTCTGCTCTTAGGGCACCTGGAATATGTTCTTTATATATTCTGAATTTCCCTGCTTTTTATTTTGCCTTAAGTTAAAAATTTGGAATTGCTTCTCTCAACCACTAGGCATGAAGTGTGTGCAATGAAATTATGAAGGATCTGGTTTTGTCTGTGACCTTCTGTTACAGATTTGAGACACGTCACCACCCTTCAGGGACTGAGCTTTCTCATCTCTACAGTACAGGGACTAGATCATGACCTAAAAGGTCTCTTAAAACAGCAGACTAACATAAGATTTCACTGCTTTTGCATTTCCTAACTGAGAACAGCATATACTACAGGGCTGTTCTACACCAACACTGGAATATTTGTATTTGTACAAACAATACTTCATGTCTCCTCAAACAGGTGTTCACACACAGTCTTACAGCGAATTGGCCCCAAGGCATTGTGGGTGATAAAGATATTTAAATGTTTGTATCATGCTAGAAAATGGAATGATTATAATGTTATAATGTTTCCTAAAATCTAATGCAGAGAAGAACAAATGAATTGCTACTTTTACTAGATTAATTTGAAAACACTCAAGGTAGACAAAGGGATCTTTTATTTATTTAGTTATTTTTGAAGATTTACTTATTCATGCATATAGACCTGCGGTATAGGCCAGAGGTGCAGGGGTGGTGAGAGGATTCACCAGAGGCGGACCAGGGAACAGAATAGGCAGAGTGATGAAGTACACTGCTGAAGGGAACAGCTGATGAAACAGGAGAGGTCTGGTGCTGCACCATGCGGGTCATCTCTCTGGCTGGGGAATGGAACTCTTACAGCTGAGCTGCAGATAGCTTCATAGTGCTGTACTTTAACTTGTTGCACCACCAGGGAGGGTCTAAGGGATCTTTTAAAAATCTTTTTTTAGGTTAACAATTAAAACTGTTATCATTAAAATTAAAGGATTCAGCCAAATTAGCTATTAAATATTTGCTTTTCTTTAGGTTATTCATACCATCAGCGCCACTGATAAAGATGATTTTGCCAATGGAGCAAGGTTTAGCTTCTTTCTTGATGAACACCTGTCTACGAATCCAAACTTCACTCTAAAGGACAATGAAGGTGAACATAAATACATTCTTTTGTTTGTTGTTTATGTGATGCTACCTGGTCTGACTTGATATGGGATAGGCCTGAGTGGTTTTGCTTTATACTTCTATCCCTGTGAACAGCTTGCAAATAAGCATTCAAAGTCAGTTTGATTTTAATGTGTTATGATCTGTGAATCTCTTGTATTTAAAATTGAGCCATATGTACAAATATCTTTCATTGAATTTATTCAGAATCATCCTTTAAACAAGAAATGTACATGTAATGTGCTCTTGGGCAAATTTTAAGAGGAATCTTAGCTGACAAATATGTTTATGAGGGCAGCTGCTACGAGGATGAAAAATTTAAATGAGGAAAAATGAAAAATATACCCTAGGGACAGTTAGAAAAAGAAATGCAATGTTTGAAATCATCTTGCATTAGCAAAACTATCAAGATGTGCTGTAGAAATTATATTTCCCCTTGTTATTATGAATATTTCACAGAATATGGCTAGCTAAATATGCATAATTGCAGAGTATGGTGGAAATTTGAATTATTTTTTGCTTAAGTTTCTATAGTCTGTAGAAAAAAAAAAAAGAAAGAAAACCATAATTTTGTTACTACAGAAGATCCATCCCAAAGTAAGTTCCTGAAAGTTGAGTACTAATTCCTCTTCTGTCTGTACCAGCAGCATTAAGATTCAACAGTGCAACATTCTGATTAACAGCAACTTTCTTAAACTATCTTTGATCCCCTGTATCTGAAGGTGTTATTATTTGAGCATCCACATGCCTCGGAATCACATGAAACAAACACATCCAGGCAGGAATAAACTTTCATTTCTTTTTTGTACCCCTGATGGAAAAACATTTTCATGCAGAGAGAAAATATTACCATGAAATGATGACCCAGTAAGACATTTTCTTCATTACCTCTGTTTCTTTAAATTATCATAGGAAAGAGTCCATAGTTTGCATGTAGCCTTAACAAGATATGTGAAAATGCAAAGCTTGTTTTTCTCTCGTTTTAACTTGCCTGAGATAGTCCTACTCATGGCAAAGTGATGTTGTGTGTGGCATGTTGTATTTCATTGACTGTTGTACATGTGTTCACAGCTGAACAGCTCACATTACAGTCCTAGACATATTAGTTTATGAATTATATCTAAGTATGGGAAAGGGAATTATGTTTTCCTATATATCACGGAGTTACACCCATACATATATTTCACTGGATTAATTTTTTTTTCAAAGAATTGTATAATTTGGGGGGACTTTTACTTTCTTAGTAGATTGAAATCATACCTGCCTACCCATAGTTAGAGTTCATTGCAATGAAATTTTAAAATAATGCTAATTAAAATATTTATGTGGGATTTTTTCTTTGGGGGGGACTTTACTGAGATGGAATTTGTATAGAACATGCTGTGAATTTAAGGTATACCATATGTTGACTTAATAATTTAAATATTGCAAAATGATCACTACCGTAGCTTTAACTAACACATCCATCATGTAACTACCACTTCTTTTCTATGGTGAGAGCACTTAACACCTACTATTCATTTCTCTATATGATATATTTATTAGCTATACTTTCTTTCTGTACATTAAGATCACATAATCTGCTCATCTAATAAGTGTATATTAATGTGCTTTGCCTAATATCTTTCCAATTCCCCAACCCTCAGGCCCTGGTAGCCACCAACCAATCTGTTCTTTTTCTCAAAATTTAATTTTTTTAGATTCCACATATAGTATACATTATTTGTCTGAAAACAATTTTAATTTCATGATATTACAGTTAAAATTTGCCTTAAATATGTATGATATGCAAGTTATTAACCCATGTGAATGACTTCAGAAGTATTTCCAAAAGAAACAAGAGGACTTTATAGTTGTTGAAAGCTGTATTATGACTAAAAATCCTTCTTACCAGATTATTGTATCTAGGTTTGTGAATGTAATGAATATACACAAAAGGCCCTAATTCAGAGATTTCACAATGTTGCCAGATTTCAGTGTTGAAAATTCATATTTAAGGAATTCCCCTCAAAATAAGCACACACTTTTAAAGGATTTATAATGATGATATGTATTTGGATTTTTTGCTCATTCATTTATAGCATTTTTTTTTTCTAGAATAAAAGTGTCACCAGTGGTTGTTTGGGGGAAGATAGGGATTTTTACTTTTCTCTCAATCTCTATTATTTTCTTATTATTGAGGTAACTGGTTTAAAACACTCTTTCACTCTGTGAAATTTAGGGGAATAGGTTCACACCTCCTCAGATGTATGTCACCCCACCACACGCATGAACAAAGCATCCAATCTCTTCGCCACAAACCTCAGGGCTTTCTCCTACTTAGTTCGATCCCCAAATGTCCTCTACCTACAGTAACCTTCATTCTTCGGTTATATTTCAACGGTTAGTTTTGCTTTAGCTTTGTTGCCTTAGTTTTGTTTCTCCATATTCCACATTTTAGTGAAATCTGCCAATAATTGTCTTTTACCTCCTGTGTATGAATCCTTTAGGGAAACGCAAATCAAAACCATGAGACACCATTTCACATCTCTGAAAACGGTCCATAGCAAAAGCCCACAAACAGCAGTGCTGATGAAGGTGTGGGAAAAAAATCAACCTCAACACTGTTGTTGGAAATGTAGGCTGGTCCAGTTGCAATGAAAAACTTTTGGTTCCTCAAAATATTAAAAATAGGGCTACAGTATGAACCAGCGATTCCATGCCTAGGAATCTAAAGAATGCCAAAAAACAAACAAACAAACAAACAAACAAAAATAAAATGAAGACTAATTTTAAGTGATATATGCACACCTATCTTCATTTCAGCACTATTTACAGTAGCAAGGTTATGGAAACAACTTAAATACCTAAGGACAGAGGAGTGGATCAGAAAAATGAGGTATATGGACACAGTAGTACAAGAATGAGTAAGAATGAAAACTCTTGCTATTCACAAGAACATGTACGAAACTGAAGAGGGATATGCTAAGTGAAACAGAAAGAGAAAAGATAAATACTGGTGCATTTCACAAGTGTATGGGATATAGAGAAACAAAAGCAAGTCACTAACTTGCAGAATAAGTTTAAGAACACTTAATAAATAGGAAGTGTAAAATATTTGGAAGAGATTATAGCAAAGATAGTAACTGTTGAGAAAATGTATGGCGATGTCGTATAAACACCAAACAACAAAAACCCAAAGACCATGTTTAGATATTTCAGATTAAATCAGTGAAACTACAAAAATATTTTTTTTTGTTTTTTAAGCAGAAATATAGTTAAAATTTACACTTAAAAATTATTTTAAAAAAAGAAAACAGAATAATTTTACAATGCAATGATAATTTGATTGAAACTAGATCCTGGTTCAAATAAGAATATATATATGTTGGGTCACAAAAATCATATGCACAAAATGCTGAAGAAAATATATTTTCTTCTTGTGAAATTCTCTACATTAGAAATAGTCATCTAGCAGGAATTACTGCAGGATAACTACTGAAGTCAGAAGATATTATATTTGGGGTGAGAGAAGAATTGCTTAATTTCTCATGGCAATAATAAGTAGGATTAATGTATTGTTCTCATGGAGTTTTGTTCCTCTGAAAGACTTGAGGGTGTGAGTGGGGTGACTCAGTGGGGTGCTTGCATGTAGGGAGTTTGCATCACAGCAAAGGAACTTTAGGGAAACTCAATATTCTATCACAAGCTACAAGAAAATCAGATTGCACTTTGCCCAGTATTCATTATGTGAGATGATAAAACAACCTGTGTTTGCTGTGGTGGGAGAAACCCTCTGTTGTCTAAAGCTGTTCTCTCTAGAGTCTTGAAAAATCATCCATATCAAAAAGAAGGTTAGTACTAATTTTCACATAACCTGCAACAACTTAAGACCCCATGAAGAATTGATTCTCAATAGCTACTTCTAAGGATTTGCCTAAGTGGTCAGCATATCCAAACTAGGAAATTCCCATACAAAAATATTTATTTCACTTATGCTTTGACTATCAAAAGGTTGGAACAAAACAAGATGATCAAACATAGAATAAATATGTCACAGTGCTTATATGAAACAGAAAATGTCACAGGAATTAAAGATGAATGAGGTAGGTTTATATTTGTCTCTTTGGCTAGATTTCAACTGTAGACTTGGTGACACAAGAAAGTTGCAGAATAACAATGCATAATCATTTATATTTTTAAAAAATCATTCAACAATGTTATGTCTTTTTTACCAGATGCCAGACTTAAAAATATCATTTAAATATGTTAAAATCAAACATATGCTTGGTAAAGATATACGTCAAATTCAGAAGAGTCGAGAACTGTGGGTACAAATAGGGAGTTAATCCTACAGGAAGTAAAAACAATATTTTGTAATCACTTATCTCATGAAAAGAGATCTGACTCAAGTGTGGCATCCTGATAATATGTTTAAAGTGTCATGCCAAGTATGATTGCCTCTTAATTTCTGTATGAGTTTAGCGTATTCTACACCTTTAGCATATTTGCTGGTGCAGGGGTGTACTTAAATAGTACCTATGTCAGTTTTTGTAAGTGATGACCACATCACAAATATAAGCAATTCCTGCTTTCCAAGATTTCTTGCATGATAACATGATCACAACTTAAATAGTACAAACAATAAGCATGTTGTTCAGCAAAGAAATTAAAGAGGGTCTCCACTCCTGGAAGGGAGGTAGGATTATTTCCTAAATTGAGAGATATCTAAACTGTTACCTGAATCATCAGTGATATTTAGAAAAGAAGAAGAAGAAGAAAAAGAAGCACAGGGAAAGATTAAAAGTTTTAGATACGGCCCTCCCTGGTGGCGCACTGGGTTAAAGCACAGCACTGAGAATCTAAAGCAGCTTCCGCATGAGTTTGATCCCCGCCTGCCCCGGAGGCGACCACATGGTGTGGCAGACCTCTCCTGACCTGCCCGCTGCTCCCCTCAGCAGCGTACTTTGTCAGTCTGCCTGTTCTGCTCCCCACTCTGTCTCTGGT